TCTTTGCTTAGGCCTGTTAAAATTTTCTTTCCTTTGCTCACAAGTTATGAATCATGAACTCTACCAAAAGTAAAAAGAAGTGGGGCTTTAGCAACTAGGAAATCTACCAGTAGATCCTGTTACACATAAAGAAAACTGCATTGTTGTATGACCCAAACCACATTTATAAGGAAAGTTTCACTCTTTTTGATGAAAAAAAAATTATAGGTATTAAATGTCCTAAAAATCAGAAAATAAAGCAATCAATTGACAAAAACTGGTATTAAAATAGTAGTCAGGAGCTACAGGTTGAAATCCTGGCTCCCATCAGTTGTTGACTCTTTTGACCTTATGACCTTACTTGAATTTTAATCAGCTCATCTGTAAAACTCAGCAATTATAAGTGCTCCTGTCTTTCATTCATCTTAGTATTTTTATGGAACACAAATTAATGTTTAACAAAATAATGGGACAGAACTATAAGATATGTGTTAACATAAATGAATATCAGATATTTATTTAGTGCCAGGATATACGTAAGAGAGTTAAAAAAACATAAAAGGGCAATGATGACAGTGCTGGATTTCCAAAGTCAAAGGAGGTGGGCGTTCCAAAGAGGAGGCCCCGTCACCAAGAGCAGATGGAGCAATGAGGTCAAGACAAGAGGAATGATGGCAGAGATTTGCCAATAGTGACGTCACTGGTAACCTTCCAGGAGAAAGTTCAGTAGAATGGAAAAGATGGAAGTCAAATTACAGACATGAATAGTCTGTATTTCTTCTAATACCAAATATTATGATAAAAGAAGATGAGTCAGCTGTGGTCCTCAGCAAGGGGATGTTTATAGCACAGGCCTCTCATAAATTGTCAAGACTAAGTGTAAAACTCACGTAATAGAGATGAGTCATTCTTCCATGTAGGCCTTTGTTTAACCCGTACTATATTCAAATGAACCAGATAGAGAAGCTGCTTGTGGTGGGCTTTACTATAACATGCATGTCTTATTTTCTTATTATTTAATTTGGAGGGAAATATTCAAAAAATAATTTTCTTCAATACTACGTACGTAGCTCTAAGAAGGTATCCTTATCCATTATAGTAGAGGAGTTGGGGACAAAGTGATTTTCTGAGATACTAAGATTCTACCCTTATCATCTCTCCTTATTTAAATGCATTAGTCTTTCCTTTTATTCCTTTCCCAGCTGTCCCTATTTCACTATTTGCATATGTGTATGGAGTGGTGGGGGGCTGTGATATATACACATCAGACACTATTTATATATTTTTGCTTATTTCTTGTTCTGGCTAACACTCAAGTGAGTCTCAATTTTAATATTCCTTCCTCTGATAGTTTTTCCTGATTTTCCTAGACCCCTTTAGGCACTCTGCTGAGTGCATAAATCCTGAACTTTCTCTATCATGAAACTTATCAGTTGTTCATACATTTGCTTCTTTGCTTTTCTCACTGAAAGATAAGCTCTAGGAGGAAGGATCAACAACTATGCTTATTGAGTGACTTATGTGCCAAGCAATGTTCTAAAACATGAAGTTAAAAATTTTAGAAACTTGCCTGGCACATAAGTTATACAATAGGAATTGACTATTGTTATTGCTAGTTTAAAAGTTGTCATCTCAATACCATATTCCAATATTCTTGAAGCCAAAGTGATGTCTTCCTTGTGTTTTGATGCCATGGTGTTTCTAGTGTAGTGTCTTACATATAGTAGGCACTAAATATATTGTTGTTGAATGAATTTGTGGATTACAAAAGGTAAATTCATATTATAAATTATAGGAAGAGAAGGAAATTGCATTGGGACTCAGTTGTCCCATATATGGTAGTGATCAGACATTAAAATGTTAATAATTATTGCAACTGTAATTCCTATTACATTAATGATATGCATATTAGTTCAACTAGCTCCTGGACCGGTTTTGTGAGACACCTACAGACCAAATTCAGAGCCAGTGGTAAAGAAGTCTTGCCCATTAAGCAGGCTACTTAACAATACTCTGCGTTGATCAGTACCACTTAAAAGTCACTATGTCATGAGATGGGCTTGGTGTGGACAACTAAACGCCTGTTGCGCAGAAGAAATTCTTTAAGCAATCTTTATCATATGCTGTTTGTTGAAGAATCCATAATATCTTGAATCATCCTGAGACCTGGTCAGAGATGAGATGAATCATTCTGAGAAAACACTGTGCAGCTTAAGGCCAAGGGACTTATTCTATTGGGAACCTAGTGATTAGGAGCTCAACCAACAGAAGACCCTTATGCACCACATGAAAAAGAGCTGATCACATTTGGATGATCATTAATATGAAAATTAACACAAGCATGATACTCAGACTTAAAAGATAAACATATCTATAATGCATTAAGAGAAACAACATCATCCAATGTAATGATTCAATCTAGTCATTACTATTACCCCTTTGTACATTTGAGGCATTTGTAATACTTTTATATATGCATCCCTGATTTATGAAAGACTTAGTGACTATGATAGATAGTATAAGGCAGCACACATTATTCAACAATCTTAAGCTTAAAACTAAAACATTTTTGATAGGAAAAAAATAACATGGAATTCATAACTAATAAATTCTAAAATAAAAATTTAAAAAGATCCAGCTACTTTCTTCATTGCTAGCAAAAAATTCTTTCTTTGAAGTTCTTCATTTTATTCTGAGTAGAACTCCATTTTAATAGAGTTGGAAGTTTATAATTTCAAATTATTTTACCAAAGTGTTAGTGTTATTTTCATGAGGTTTTCTCATGAAGTAGTGTGTGGAGAGGTGGGGCGTGGGGTGGGGGAGCATTCAGAGTTTTCTTGACTAGAGCTTAAAATCACTTTACATAATGACACAGTGTACCCAGGCATATATACTCATATATACCTGATAAATATTTCAAAAGCAATACTTTATCTTATTGAAATGCACTGTGATGTACTTTATTTCATATGCAAGATAAAATAATAACTGAGATTGATTAAAATTTACTGAATGACACACTAATTAATTATGAAGGAAACCAAAGATTTGCCACCGTGAAGTTGTCTTTTGGAATATTGATTTTTAAGCTCTTTATTAATAAACAAAGATTAAGAAGGAAGCTTTGACCCTCCCCCCTGTTGTTTTTTTAAAGTATATTTTATTGATTTCAGAGAGAAAGAGATAGAAATATGAATGATGAGAGAGAATCACTGATGGGCTGCCTCCTACATGCTTCACACTGGGAATCAAGCCCATGACCCTGCAGGCATGTGCCCGGACTGGGAATCAAACCATGACCTTCTGGTGCACAGGTCGATGTTCAACCACTGAGCCATGAGGACTGGGCGACCCTTCCCCATTTTACTGCCCAAGAGATTCAGGAAAAGAATCTTAGGATGTTCACCTTGGCCTAGCTTGAATTAAGTGTGAAAGACAAGAGCGCTTCAGGAAGGTGCCTGTTAGCTAGATACCCACTGTGTCTCACGGTGTCTGGCAAGGATTTTCCTGTATATTCCTCTCCTCCTCAACTTCTTGTAAATCTCTCATTCTCACTTCTGAAATCTAATCTCTCATTTCTGTCAACCTTCTCCTTTGTCTAAAAATGTCTTATATACGTAATGTTGCTTCATTGTCTTTGGAATTTTCATGCTTATGTGAATGTGCATTTATTAAAATTTTGATTTTTCTCCTGTTAATCTATCTTTGTTAATTTGATTATTAGTCCAGCCTAGAAGAACTTAGAAGGTAGGAGAAAAAAGCATTGTTATATTTTTTAACCACCACAGATACAACATGCAATTTAGAAAACAACTACAACAACAACAACAAACAAATAGATCAATGATGCTTCAGAGCAGTAGTAACCTGAGGAGCTCTGAGGCGTGGGGGACCCAGAGTGTCTGTAAGGTTAGAGGGGAGAGACAATATGTGTTCCTGGAGCAGGTGGATTCTAGGTTCTCACTCCCACTTTTGCTATTTTGTGTTGTATGTATACAAGTCTCCCATATAAAATTTCATTTAAAGAAACCTATTATTGGTTTAAAAGTTTGGCAGTTACCTCTGTACATTATAATTTCCTTATCTTATAGGACAAATCTTATGACAAAATCACTACTTCTAAAATCACTAAAATGAAATATTTCTTATATGAGGTGCTGTTTATTTCAAGCAATACTCCAAGAACAAAGTTGCAAAATAACTCTAAAGTGTTTATCTAGGTTCTTAGGATTTTCTTCTAATGCAGTTTTCCTTACATCCTTTAAATCTGGCATTAGCATTTTCAAGTTTATATTATAAAATTGTGTTAATTTTTTATATAATTTGCATGGAATTTAACCCTTCGCTTAAAATTCTATGCTTAATTTTGAGTGGTCACTGTTTTTGTTTCTGATAAGTGGCTCTATATTTATTCTTTAAATCATTTATTTATTGCTTTACTCTTTATGATCTTTCAGATAAACATTTTATTTCAGTGACAGGGAGAATTCAAATATTTTTTAGTCTTTATCTGTTTGTCAGGGATGGCAACACATTTTCCCCAGAGAAATATGTAATATTTTAAGCACAAAGGTGATAATTCACAGCTTTAAGCTAATTAGAAAGAATTTTAAATTGTTGTTAGGATTTCCTAAAATCACATCTGTTTGGGAAAGGAACAGTAAAGCCAATTTATAAAGAAGAATCAAGATTGGACTGGGCGGATGTGGCTCAGCCATTGAGCATCAATCCAAGAATCAGGAGGTCATGGTTTGATTCTGGGTCAGACCTTGATCCCCAGTACGGGGCATGCAGCCGATCAATGATTATTTCTCTCTCCCTTCCTCTATCTCTCTCTAAAAAGAAATAAAAATACAAAAAAAAAATAAGAATAAAAAAGAATCAAGATTGGGATGTAGGTGGGTGAGGGGAAGATGATTAAAAAGCAGAAGAACAAGACAACTTGTATTTATTGAATATTGACGATGTGTGAAACATTAGGCTAAGTGCATTACATGTCTTCCTTCTTTTAATCCTCACAGCAATCCACTGAGTCGATGTGAACATCGCCTATTCACTGATGAGGACCTGAGTGTTAAATAACACATCCAAGTTCAAGCCGTGATGGAACTGGAATTTGAAATTAGGTTTGTTTCCATTCAAATCCCTAGTCTTTCCTGATGTTCCCTTTGCTTCCCAAAGACCATTCTGTTTCCGCATGGTCCCTGCAATTACGCTCCTCACTGCTGCCCAAGCACAGGTTCCCTCACTGGCCGTGCCTGGCCCTGAGCCTCATTCCTCCTGCTCTCCTCTCCTCAGTCCTCTTACGGCCAATCATTCTCTTCGTGATTACTCCTTCCATTTGGGGGCCCATCTCACCCGTCAGGCCCAGCACTCTGCCCCCGCCCTTGTGTCTTAGCTTCACTTGACCCCAGTTTAACTTACACTTTTGACTACACAGCCTCGGGTACCTTAGAATAAGCCTCTGGGTTTAAAACGGTCCCAGAGCCCCGGTTTGAGGATGTCTCCTGCAAGAAAGTCACATCGCCTCGGTTTAGGCTGGACCTTAAATTAGATTCATACAGATGCAGAGACTTCACTTGATAGTAACTCGGGCTTTGGTGAGAAAACATTTAGGTCTGGGCTTGGAGGGTGTGGGGAAGGGGAACTTTTCCTCCCCCGCTTCCCCCTTTTCATATTTCTAATACACTGCTTTTGAGGCGGGGGGGGGGGGGGGATTTTCTTCTCGGTTTTAAGCCTGAGAAAAATAAAACAATCAAGGTATTTTTCAAGTGAAGTACAGATCCTCAGCCAGGAAGGTTTGCTGCACCTGGGATCCTACTGAACAATCTGGAGAACTCTGGTGTATAGAATTTCCCAAAGACCCTCCTCTTTTGTAGCTCAGGGAAGGACATGGGGAGGATCGCATTTCCCCAGGCCACACTGGAAAGGCCAAGCAACACTTTCTAAGTTTCTCTCCTTATCTGGATGGTGAACCAAGTCCCATGTCTCGCACTTTTTTCTTATCATCCACCACCTGGCTCAATACCTGGAACATAATCTGTGCTTTATTAATGTTCGTTAGGCGAATGGATGGGTTGGGCATTGAATAGGATGATGTGTGAACGCGCTGAAGAAGGTGCAGGGTTAAAAGTATGGAGCCAGATTGCCTGGTTTCAAGTTCTGACTATCCCATCTACTGACTGTGTGACTTTGGGCAAGTTATTTATGTTTCTGTGCTCTGTTTTCCCCCCACTTATAAAATGAAAATAAAAGTATTGCTATCTCTTAAGAATGTTGTGGTTAGATAAGCAGGGAGTATTTAGAATTATGTCTGGTTCATCGCAAGAGTTCAGTAAACTTTAGCCAAATGAAATTTAGAAACTTAGAAACTATAAACCATACAAGGTTTTTATTGTTTTTAAAATAACGAAGATCAGATGAAAGGCAAGTGCAACACAATAAACCCATGATATTCAAGTGTCTAATATTTTAAGCTTGACTGTTTATCATTATTCCTAAAGGTTGTAACTTAGAGTAATTTGTAATTTTATTTATGTATCAATTTAAATTACCAATACTGTTAGACTTGCTTGCAAGACAAATCTTTTCTCTTGAGAGTGTGCCTCAAAATTTGTCCTCAGCACCTGACAGTTCTTATAATTACATATTCATTATTTATTTTTGTAATAAGCACTATAAGGACCAGGACAATGCTTGTCCCATACCCTAATTTTTTTAAAAAAGCTAAAAATTATGATACATTTACAATGTGCCAACTACTAAAAGCTTATATAAATAACATCAATTAATATCTCATTCAACACAACAACCATTTAAAGTCAACACAAGGAAGCTACGTTATTAAATACAAATAAATACAACTTAGAGTAGAGGGCTCTTGAAAGCACACATTTGATAGATTTAAAGTTATGATAATCACCATAAACAATAATAACATTGTAGGCAACCTGAAAGATTTAGTAATCTATAATTCTGTAGTTATCTGTAAAACTGCAGCTCAATTAATATTTGCTGCAAATACTCCTAACATTATTTATTCATTTAAATATTAGTCACAGACAACGTGACTTTATTGTTGGTATTAGAAATAACAAATTTTCCAAACAATTATTTATATTTACAGAACTACTATTTTTTTCACCTTTTAAACCACTTTTTACCATCTGTTTACCTGGTTAAACAAATTGTGTCAATTTGACTAGTTTGAGTGAGAATAATTTTGCACTATCAAGATAAAAACAATATCATTTAAAACAGGATAGATAATGATTTCCTTTATGGGCTTAATTTTGTCCCTCCAAAATTCCTATGTTGAAGTCCTAACCCTTAGTACCTCAGAATGTGACTGAATTAAGAGACAGCATCTTTAAACATGTGATTAAGTTAAAATAGACCATTAGGTTGGTTCATAATTTAATCTAACTGGAGTCTTTATAAGAAGAGGAAATTTGGAAACATGGAGATGTCAGATAAATGCGTGTATATAAGCCAAGAACATGTAAATAAATGGCAGGAAGGTAAGCCCAGATAAAGGCCCCAGAAGAAACCATTTTCTAACACCCTGATCTTCGACACTCCAGATTCTAGAACTATGAGAAAATAAATTTGTTGCTTAAACTATCCAATCTGTTGTATTTTGTAATGTCAGCTCTAGCAAACTAATACATATTTTATTCTTACAAACTCTTGGGACAAAGGTGTGACTATTATTATTTTTACATATTATTATTTTATAGACAAGAAAGGAAAAACAACAACAACAACAAAACCTAAAGCACAAGGACCCAGGATTTGAACCTAGTAGTAAAGAATCAGAGACTTGTCTTTGACCACCAAGCTTTTTTGCTCCCTTTACTGAATATTAAATACAATGCCATGAAAGTCATATTTACATTATACATATTTCTTTTACTGTATAATTGAGTACATTGTTAATGAAAACAAACTTAAAAGTTATGACTGGAAAGAAGGACAAAAGAAAAAAATGGCAGATTAGGCCAGACCTTGGTTCAGCAACCTCCATGCTGAGTTCAGACTAACAAAGAATTCAGAGCAAAGACTCAAACTATAAGAGAAAGTTTATCTAGAAAGTCACAGAGGTAGAAGAAGTGAGCCTGGAAGAAATGGACTCAGGAAACAAGTTACCAAGGCCAAGGAAGGGCTTTTGGAGCTTAGGAGAAAGAGAGGCAAGGAAAACCTGCCTGGGGGAGGGGGTGGGAAAAGGCTCCATAGAGAGAGATCCAAAGGTTAAAGACTTTTATGTGGGGACCTTTGGGATGAATCCCAATGGAACATTCATCAGCTTTCCAGATGTGCCCCTTGTGGTTCAGCTGGCCGTGGCCTGGAGCTAACACAAAGAAGAAGCCTAGAGGTCATCATCTAGGGGTTAATGCTTAAGGGAGGGATCATACAGGGACTTACAGTTTGCCCATTGCTAGGCACCTGAGGATCTCCGCCCTGATGACCCTCTGCACCTGTCCTATCTAAGTACCTACTACATTTTGACTGAGCAGATAAAAACCATGACAACACTTGACACAAACTTGCACTGCTTAGAATAAAAACCAAAGTTCTCTTAGATAACCTAGGAGATCTCAGGGCTCTGTGATGAGGCAACAGAATGCCCAGAGGCACACAAAAGTTCAAAAAAATATAGAAGAAAAGTAAAATTTTATATAAATGAACACCTTTTAAATAGCAAAAAAAGACAACAAACATTGCTTAAAACACAGAGGAAACACTGAGGACAGAATTTAGAAAAAGCAAGTAAAATAATAGAAATAAACAAAATTAAAATAACTACCATAGTAGAAAATCTTTGTTTAAATATTACATTAATTACAAAAAGCAAGGAGACTGGTATTTGGGATTAACTTTTCTACTGAGAAAACTTAGAAAAACTGGAGCAAAATAAAACAAAAGAAATCATTAATTCTAGGCATCAGACAGCTAACAAAGCAGTTAGCAATCAAGTATCTTCATCTGGCAGGGAGAGTGTGAGCCCAGCTATGGCTGCTTTTTTCCTCTGGGGAATTCCCAGTGGAGAAAGTAGTAGATGAGGAATGAGAAGCTTAGCAGAACTACTGACAGACTTCCAATGGGGACTGAGATACTGTGACTTATAAATATATATATTGTCATTCAGATCTTCCTTCTATCTAGCTGTTCCTAGGGTATATACACTATATACTAGAGGCCCAGTGCACAAAATTTGTGCACTCGGGCGGGCGTTATCCTTCATCCTGGCCTGCACCCTCTCATAGTCAGGGAGCCCTTGGGGGATGTCTGACTAACAGCTGTCCGCACGGAGTTGGCCTAAGCTGTCAGTCAGACATCCTTAGCACTGCCACAGAGGCGGGAGAGGCTTCTACCACTGCTGCTGGACTTGCCAGCCATGAGCCCAGCTTCTGGCTGAGTGGCGCTCCCCCTATAGGAGCGTACTGACCACCAGGGGGCAGGTCCTGCATTGAGCGTCTGCCCCCTGGTGGTCAGTGCACATCATAGCAACCAGTCATTCAGCTGTTCAGTCAATTTGCATATTAGCCATTTATTATATAGGACTAGAGGCCCGGTGCACAAAAATTTGTGCACTCAGGAGGGGAGGGGGGGTCCCTCAGCCCCGCCTGTGACCTCTCGCAATCTGGGACCCCTCAGGAGATAATGACCTGTTGGCTTAGGCCTGCTCCTGGGTGGCGGAGGGCAGGCCCAATCCCTAGGTGCAGCCCCTGGTCGGGCTCAAAGCAGGGCTGATTGGGGAGTTGGGGCGCCCCCCCTGTCATCCACAGAGCAGGGCAGATCGGGAGGTTGCGATGCCACCCTCAGTCACGCTCAGGATAGGGCCGATTGGGGGGTTGGGGCACCGCCCCCTGTCACACTCAAGGCAGGGTCGATGGGGAGGTTGCGGCGCCACCCCCTGTCACGCACAGAGCAGGGCCAATCAGGGGGTTGGGGCTCTGCCCCCTGTCATGCACAGAGCAGGGCCCATCAGGGGGGTTGGGGCTCCGTACCCTGTCATGCACAGAGCAGGGCCAATCAGGGGGTTGGGACGCTGCCCCCTGTCACGCACAGAGCAGGGCCCATCAGGGGGTTGAGGAACTCCCCCCTGTCACTCACAGAGTAGGGC